TATTGCGCGCTTTTGAAATGATAGACCCCGACTTCGATAAATCATTGTGAAATTATGATAGCGGCGCGACATGCACACATACACAAGTGCAGCTCGTGTCTTTCGAGCCGTTATTAAACAGCATTAGCTGCAACTCGGTGCACTCGATATACCGGGCCACACCTTTCGCACGGTTTTGAAGTCTGACCTCCCGATCTAATGGAAAGTGCTAGCGATCTTCTGGCAGATATTACAGCCGTAATTTGAAGATCGTTTCTCTCTCTTTCTCTTTCTTTCTCTCTCTCTCTCTCTCATACATCTCGAAGCTCGGGATAGGATCGAGCTTGGAGATGTCGAATTAAACGCCGAGAAAACGGTACCCCTGATTCGCGCGCAAAGGTGAAATTCAACGATCGCTGATATTTCATAACCGATACGATCTTGGTCTCGTCGATTTCCATTATACGGTTTAAGATCGTCCGATCTTCGATTTATTCTACCATTATTCTACCATTCATGATGAATGATCGCGAAATCACTGCGTCCATCTTCGCGCCAAGTCAGTTTGATCACGACTGATTTCCCAATATGGAGAGGAAATCGATGATTTCTTAATAATCCCTTAATCTCGTGATCTTTAATCTCGTTGATCTTTAATCCCTTTGAATGAAGATATTTTAGTACTTGCGACATATACATCAAACAGCATTTAATTTTACAGTACAGATTTTTTTTGCATAATTACGCTTTTATATTCGTGATCATTTATTAAAGATTTGCAAACTTATATTTAATTAATAATTTTTTTATATTAATAATATAATAAATGGAATCATAATATATTCGCAGTTAATAAATTTTGAGTTATTCATATAGGATAATTAATTTCTAAAAAATATCGCGTCTTTTGATCCGAGAAACACCGGTATAAAGGTAGAGAGGCAAGCCACTTCTTAAAATAATGCGTGGTTGCGTCCCGTACTCTCTGGACTCAAGCCTCTAATTTCCAGAGCGATCATTCGGCATATCGAGTCTGTTGCATTCATTAAGAATTCACCAGGAGGTACGGATTAAGGATCCTCCTGTACGCGAACACCTGGTATCTCTTCACGAGATAGAACTTAAATCGTCCGACGAAGGAATGCGTAGTGGCGAAGGAAAGGTTGAAAAGGAAATCTCGGGTAATCATGGTGGAGAGATGAAGGGGACGTGAATGGAAAAAAGTGAATGGACTTGACGAGAGAGGAAGAACGAGAGAAAGAGCGAGAAAACAATAGTTGTCTACTTCATCGAAGCAATCTTATAATTGAGATATTTTCCAAATTGTTGTGATGAAATTGCTAATTTTAATTTCTACCATACGCTTTAAAAAACATAAATTTTTCCAATAGAAAGAAAATTCATTTAAAGCTATATTTGAAAAATATGTAAAAAATATCTAAAATAATTTTTTAATAAAAATTTTAATAATAATCTTCTAAATAACAGTTTCAAATTCCTTAAAATATGTTTTTAGAAGTCATAATTTATACTTAAATAAAAAAAGAAGCCTTTTTCGAAGCTGTTACTTTAATCTTGCATCGCATCTCAACAATCTGAAATCTTCCAAAGCAAATGTCAGTTATTTTCAGTATCTAATTAATTATCAATATCATATCCATGTCATCGTAGAAAACTAGATTTCCATTATCCATAATTATGCAGATCGACAGAGGAATTTTTTTCCCAGCACCTTCAAGCATCTCAAAGTATGCTTCTCACGAACGCCATAAGTGGAAGACACGACAGCGCGATGCATGACGCTCTCTAATTATAATGTGCGATGTTTCTTAGATAAGATTAAAGATCCATAAAGAGAGCAAAGTGGAATATCGATTACCAACTATCCATCGATAATCCCGACAAATAGCTATATGCAAACACTTAGTCTGAAGACATAAGATCGACCGACGATGCAGATTTGGAAAAAACGAGGAGAAGGAATAAGAAAGAGATTGCGAGGCTAAAGTAGGGAATGAAGGTCGCGCGCATAAGAGGGGCAGTTGATCGTCCTTTATGCAGATGAAAGAGAGCGATAAGATGGAGCGTGGACGCATGCACGCGAGAAAGAATGAGAGAAACGCCTTCTACCGGAACCAAAAAGTCGTTCGAGTAATTGCGACGCATCGGCCGACCGGGTCGGCACCCATGGGCGGATGCGCGCGAGGAATGCATCCCTGAGGAAGAAAACTGCGCGCAAGACTTGGTCGCGTCGCCCGCGGGATTACGTCCCTCGAACATGCGAAGACATTGAATATGATCGAGATTGCACCGCACCGATTTTCTCGCGTCTCTCTGCATATTGATGGCCGTTCATTAGGGCGGAAATTACGCTTCGAGATAAATTAATGTTACGTACGCAAGTGTATTACACTAACGGCTTACATCCGCGACAAGATTCCAACGAATAAAAAAGATTTTACATAGACAATTTCTTAGTAAAAGTTTAAAAAATAATTACCCTATAATATAATTTTTAATTTTTCAATATTCAACTCTCTTCTCTATTTATTGGTAGTCAATTCACTCATTTATAAAAAAGATCTTTAGTAAATATAAAATCTATTTAAATATAACAAAATTTATATAAATTTAAAATCATGCTACAGAAATATTAGAAAATTGTGTAAAAGAGATTTAATTTTAGCGATTTCTTTCGTGAAAAATACAATAAGAACGATCAAAGAAAGAATCGAGACGAACGCTTGGTCACAATAAGAGCGCGTTATTCGCACAGATCGTCGGAAGATACACGTGTATACAAAGGTACACTGCACGTAAGTGCTGCTGAGGAAGGTTTGTGGGAAAAACTTGATCCTACTTCCGTCGCGTTTGTGTCGCCCTTAATAAGATAGACGTAAGTCAATGATCGTCTTTCCTTTCTACATTATTTATTTTCTTTCCCTATATGGCATACATATCGTGCCGAGGCTTTTGCGTGTCACTACATCGACTTTAATTATCTATCAATTAATTAATAACATCCGAAAACGCTAAACGCTCGTAGAAAGAATTAAAGAATTTTCGATTTTCTTATTTTACTGTAACAATTTAAAATCAAAAGACTTGATGCATTCATGTTTTTATTATATACGATTATTTCTCTATGTCAATTATTATTTTAATGAAATGTCTAAATAAGCTAAATAAGAAATAAGAAATTATGATTTGCTTGTGCATTATTAAAGCTTATTTATGTGAAGATTCTTTTATGAAGATTTGTTTTATTGTTTCGTGCTCTGTTTTCTATGATAGGCTCTTATTTGCCAGTTTTTTCCGTTATGTTGTAGAGACTTATTTGTAGACTTTCTGCCTACCATCAATTAACATTTAATCATTTAATCAACGACTATTCCTATTTTCTTACCTGCTTCATGTTTTGACAAATACTGTCATTATGATTACGCGTTTGTGATTACGCTCCAACAGTTTTTGCAGGTGCGATCTTTCTTTTTTGCAATTTATGTATTTCCTCAGGCACGGGATATATCTCGCTGTCGTTCAGCCCACGAGAAAGCTAATTATAGTTCGCAGGACAATAATAACTGAGAAGATACGTTTTTTTATTCATCATATATATGTGCATCTCGCCTGCTAGAAATCTTTCGCAAGATCAGGTTTTTAAACCGCTACCTATTACAATCACAATGTTGCACGAATCATTGAACGAAGGAGAGAGATGAAGGAGAGTATATTCGCAACACAAAAAATATATATACGCACAATATTTCTCATTAATAATCACAATAAACGCATGGACTGCGAAAGCTTTGATCATAATTCTGCTTTTATTATAGCGTAGATCATGCGTGAAGTAATTTACGATGACGCTTTTTGCATGAATATTGATTGTAATGAGAAAGAGAGAAACATGAGAGAAAAAGGATCGCTGGAAAGCCGCATTGATTTTTGCTTGATTTTCAATTACAACGAGCACGTTTTTCAATCAGCGCTCTGTTGAAGAAAATCTAATATTTCACGAATGTTCTTCAGACAAGTAGAATTTTCACTGCAAAATAAATTTTCATAAATTGAAATCTTTGAAATTAAAATTGAAAGAAATGGATTTTTCTCTGAAATGTTTGTTATATTTTATTATATTATATTTATATATTAATATTATTATATATTATTATTATATACATATATTATTTTTATATTATTATTATTATTCTTACATATTATTATATATATAATTTTTATTATATTGTATTTTGTTATATTTTATTTAAACTAGTTTTATAAAAAATAAAAATTTAAATTTTCTTTAAATTGTTTAAATATATTAAAAAAGAAATAAATAAAAATATTTCTAATACTTTTAGATTTATTAATGAATGAATAATAAAAATTATATGTTACAATAATCTTTTTCTTTACGCGTTAATTTCGCCAAATGTAACTTTTATATTTTATATATATATATATATATATATATATATATATATATATAGAAGGTAAAAAGTATAATATTGCTCGTCGCGAGTTGACTGGTAATCCTACCTGTCATCGTCACACCTGTCTCTTGCGACTACTTAGTGGTAACGTTAATGACCTTTCACGGACTGCTGAATGCAGAACATGTGAGTGTCTGAGCACGAATTTAGTTACCATTTTGAATGCCATAACTCTTCTACGATTACAGTATTGTATCTACTTGATAAAATGCTATGTATGTGGAATATATAATTTATAATATAATTTCAAAATAAATATATCTAAAGTTATAATTTACGATACTTTATATTTCGTATGATTAGAGATGATAAAATAACTTAGAGGTAAAGGTAAATTGTGCTTAAAATTTATTTTTTATTAAATGAAATATTTAAAATTATTTTCATTAAATTATTTATTTTAACGAAAGTGAGATATACAAATAAATGTTACAATTTAACGCTTAATTATATTAGCATCTTGCAAAATTTAACATTTAGCAATTTAGATAGCTCTCTAATAGAGATTTGGCCTCTTCATTTCAGATGATTCCGCAGTCACGAGTGAGGTTTTCCAAGATTACGATCCCCAGTTCACGGTGGGCTGTTACTTTTCTGCGGAATTCCAGGGTGAATTCGTAACGCAGGAGGTGAGCGGAAAGGGCGTCGGAAGCATGGCAAACGAGTCTATTCAGTATTCTACTATAAACATCACTTTCAACGCGATCTCGGTATGGGGCTATTGCCACAAGAAGGTCGGCGATAACGTGCTGTTAATGGACAGGTCAAGGTCAGTTAATTCAACGAATTACGAACATTTCCTACATCAAAGAAAGTGTTGAGATTTCACTTAGCGATTAATGCGGTGAATAATTAGAAAAGTCGTGCCGACAAACGATTCTATAGGATCTATCGTTAAATCAGTAGATTAGTGAATTAATGTAGCAAAGATATAGCACTAATCGCTCGATATATACTTTCTTCGATGTTAATTAACATGTGAAATTAATTTATTATGTGAAAAATTTGAGGCGATTCCCAAATTAAATTTAAAAAATGAACAAAATTTTGAAAGTTTAATTTAGGATTTAATTACAAAAATATTTAATGGTAAATTCTTGCAATTTGCGATTAAGTAATGATCTCCAATTGCATGCAATTTATTAGTGTTAGTTTAATTTATCTGACAAATTTATATGTAACTTATTTTTATCATTATTTTTAAAAAATAATCTGCACATTATCGTCATTTTTATTTATGAATTTTATGAATTTCGAAAACTTTGTTTTTATATTTTACTAAGCATTCTGTGTAGGTGAATTATAAAGTAGTACATAACTACATTTTTTCATCTTTATCAACCTGACACGTTAAGACATCCAAACTAAGGTGTTAAAGTCTTAAAAGCCGCGAACGATCGTTGTGAAAGTTTACAGACACATAAAAGTCTTGAAAGCGCGGTACCATAAAACATCAAAGTTCTGATTTATTGAGAAAACAAAAAAAGAACAGAATTTAGGTTGACGCGTTCGAAGAACGATGGCATACTCGGTTATTTAAAAGTAACGGTATATTTGTACAGAACGATGCATTTGTAGCTAGGATATCTGCACACGTAAATGCTGTTAAATGGGATAGCGAAATAGTGTGAAAAGAAACGATGTCCATCGTTAAATATGTTTCTAATGATGTCAAACCTCGGAATCTTCTCTCGACTTTTCTTATCAACACTTGAAATACTCTGATGCGTTGCATTCTATGGAATGTTTAATGCTAAGATTATGAATGAGAGAAACTAATGCATTTTATATACATTCCAGAATTATATAGCATGCATATGTTTTTGCCAATTGCAAAATTTAAATAATAATATAACATTGAAATAAATATCATTTTTCAAATATATACAACATGCTTATGTAATTGTGTATATTTTATACTAAACTTTAAAGTTTTATGAATAACTGGATTTTTTTGGACACAGAATTATTTTGAATCAGCAATTAATTTGACGAATGTATTACATGAAGTTAATGAATTTTACATGTTAGTAGAATTTTAATCAAAAAAATTTAATTACTAATAATATTATAAAAATTATTAATATATAATATTATAAAAATTGAAACAATTAAACTTTCACTGAAATTTGTTGAAATATTTATAATAAAAAAAATGCGTAATTTTTGCTGCTTTCTATATAAGTCATTACCAGTCTAGACGGGAGAATGTGGGCGGATCATTTGCGCTCAGAGAGGGGTGAGGTTTTTTTATCAAAAAGGTAGAGAACTCGGTGACGACGGCGAAGTGATATTACCGTCGCGGAAAATGGAAAGGGTGTGAAGGGGTTAAGGTTAAATTAGCTTGCCAATGTCTTCTAGGATGCCACGACGTCTGCGATTCGTCTGAAACAAAAATAGCCGGCTTTCCAGACACTCGTGTCGCATGCGTATTGCAAACCTGAGCTAATTCTAGAAACAGGACGAAAGCCATAAAACAAAAAAGAATGATGAAACATCAAGTCCTCTTCGCATCCTAAATCGACATAGCTTCAACATTGTCTCCTTGAGAAAAGAAAAGAAGAGGAGGGAGAAGGGGGAAATAAATCTTTTATTTTCGGGGAAGGAGAGACACGATTAAATGCTAAATACTATTTATAAAACTGTAGCTACCATTTTTTGGAAAGTCTGAATGTTTTTATTACAATTTTTATGTATTTTTTATTAATTCATAAGTATTTAAATTATATATAAATCTTCACTTATATATTTTAGAAAAACGAAATGAGAAAATAGATAAAAATTGCCCAGCAATTTCATTAATCAATAGATTCTCAGAGAATTTCAATGTTGCATCTCATAAAGATCCAAAGTTCGAGAACCTCGTCGCGCCAATCGATAGTTCTTCGATGCATCTGGACGCTCACGAAGCCATGTGGGTGTTGTCCGCTCAAGTATGCATAAATTGGCATACACGTGAGAGTCTACCCCTTTCTCTTCTTCTTCTTCTTCTCTAGACACGATCGTATACTTCGCGATTCACGTTGAATCGTTAACGAGCTACCACGCTATGAATATTCCGAGAAATCATATGCTTGGTTGTTATCTCTGTTATCGTCACTGTTGAATTTACTTTCGAAAAAATTCCTTTTTTAAGTTTGCAACATGATATTATATTTTATGAAAATAAACTTTATGAATCGAAATATAAAAACAAAAATGTAATAAATTTTTTATTTTTAATGTTCATCGTATTTGATATATAATTGTAATGTTTAATTCGTGATATTTAAATTAATGTAAATTCAATTTTTTTATTTCTTGTCATTTAACCGACTAAATCATTGTAATATGAATAACGATGTCGTATAATTTTTGCTGAAGAATTTATTACACGGACAGATAGATAATTTGAATAATAAGTAAATGTGACTCTGCGATTACTATTACATATGTATCACTCGAGGCACTTCCTTGAGATTTGATCGCGATTTAATTGCCGTGCATTTTTTCCTCCCATCGCAATGTTTCGTTTAATTGATCGTATGTTCCAATGCAATTTTTATAAAACGTGATCGTCACGCGTTATTTAAACGACGTTCGTAAATCGCGAACATAATCCCTACGAGCAAGGCCACAGCTATTAAACGATAATCGTGGCTCGTAATAATAATTTGCTGGAGCGACAAGCAATACGCTGTGAAAGCTGTATGCAAAATTCGCGTAAATTATCTCTCCACGCCCGCGGTTGTCGGCAATGTTCTCACACAGAGGATGATCGCTATATTCCGCGTCTGCCGCTAGAATTTCTTCGGTAGAATCGCCGACAAATACGCGACAAAGTACGGTTGGTCTACAAGGATTATAATGCGATCATATGCATCCAGCTTACAAAGCTATAAACGAGGTAACTCGAAATGTGTATGATTATTAAACATAATATAATTATTAAAATATAATATGATTGTTAAACATAATATAATTATTAAAAACAGGCTGTTAATTATTTCATCTGGGAAAGACGAAAAGAATAAAAATTATTATTTATTTCTAAACTTCTATAAAAATTCATAAAAATTTTATAAAAATTCAATTTTTATTTCCAAACTCTTCCGAAAATATTGTCGATCACACAATATTATGTCAATGTGAGAGAAAATGATGACGTTCGCTCGTGAACCGTCTGATACAACGCTTGCTTATGCGTTTCGTGGCATAACAATCGCTCTAAAGCCGTTGAAAAACGGCATCGGAAGAGAATACATCGTCGCCGGGGAGCTGCAAGCTCGCGCGGCCCCACCTCCAGCGATTGGATAGAACAGAGGGCCTGTTGCATACCATCTTCTATCATTAATCTCCGTGAAGACGGAGGAGTGACTAGCCGAAGATGGTACGAGTCTCTCCTCCAGTTTCCATGTATCCCGCCTCCGTTCTCTAGGTTCGCGTTGACGACGCTACGAGTTAGCTCTTCTCCGGGATCACTACGCCGAGAACAACAACGTGCATATTTCTTAAACTGGCTCCTTGCACGGCTCATTTGTTACTCTAATTGTGAGGCGTAGGGGCCCGGATTCCGACTTCGTTGACAATCGGTTGAATCGTTCATTATAGTAGAAGCATACACGCATAAACTCACGAGAAATGAAACGTGCAAGGAATGCCTTTGAATGATAATTATGGTACACAATCGTAGAAGATATTTAACATAGATATCGATTATAAGAAGAGAATAAACATTTCTTTATGCGAAATTGTAGAATTTTTGTTACTGCACTGCCTTCCGTCTACGTTCTACGTGATTTGTCGCTCGTGTGAGACACAGCCTTAAAATACGTGCACAGCTATGCAAATTTGGTTCGAACGTAATTTACATTTCGGGTCAGTGGGATACCACAGTTAGATGATGATGATGATGACAGTTTCGCGGAGAGCGAACGCAATTCCAATTGTATATAATTTAGTTAGTAGATAAAGTAGGTAGCAAAATAAAATAGTTCAAGCTCTTGTAAAATGCAAATGTTTCCGAAATAAGTGTAATAATAAACGCGACGAAGAGACGTTATTGACCTGTGCGTTGTATTCTTTACTTTCGTGCTTCAAACTCGTTTCACAAGTTTGAAGTAGCGTGGCTTTTGACGTTTGAATTTACATGCGATCTAAATTGCATATTTCGCTTTATACAACAAACTTTGTTACAACGATGGAATAAAAAAATGCGATAGCGCGTTAATTAATAACATTTCGCAGACTATTTTTAGCGAAATCTGAATATAGTTTATTATCTCGATGAGAAACTATCTAATTATTTTCCTACAGAACGAATGTTATAAATGAAAGAAAAAAATATTCTAATTGCAAAAGAAATAAAAATCGACGAAAAAAAAATTAATTCAACAAGAATTTAATTTTTTTTATTAAGTATAAACTTTAAACACATTATTTAACACAAAAAGAAATCAACTATATAAAATATAAATCTATAAAACATTTTTTGTTGTTTAAGCTTCAGAAAAACGGAGAATTTACATTTTTATTTTAATTTCAATTTGATTTTATATTTCGAGAAATTAATAATTGATTAATTCAGAAAAATGCTTCATAAAAATACGTTTAATACTTTAATTCATTAAGGCATTTGTAACAATATATAGCTGGAACAATATATATACACAATATATATACTGGAAATAAGAAACTTGAAAGAATGACGTCATCAGGACGGATATCACGCAGCGAATACTCCGAATTCAAGCAAGAATGCTTATCGTGCACTCGCATAATCGTTGGTATGGACAAAACCTATCATGTAACATTCTCCAGTTGGCGAATATATCCGGAGGGTTCTCAAGCACGCGTACACGTTGCTCTCTTAAAAACCGTTTGCACAGGCGAGTCTAGAGATCCTATATACGGCGAAGAGATCGGGGTGACCATAAGATCGCGGGCCCACACGCTCATTCCCACAGGTTGCATAATATTGACGTATAATAGGTATTGCCTCGGAGTTACAATTAGAAGCGCAGGTATGCGTTGACGTCGTAAACACGTGTACACTTACATCCGTCAGGAGATACCGCATTGTAATTTACATCTTGGTGTCGTTGCGCCATTCCACGCTCACTTGTTCGGAAAATCAATCTTGATTTATGATTATTAACGTTATTATATATAATTCGCACATATGATTTTACATGCCCGCGCATAAAGAAAGAAAAGTATATTTTACGTGAGATTAGAGAAAAATTTATTTAATTGTAAAATTAAGAGAATAATTCGCTAAAAGTAAATATCAAGTCTCGGATATTTATTATACAGTTAAAACGAAAAATAATTATATTAATTTACATACATACTAACAATAAAGCAAACAACATTCTTCAATGCGTAATGCAAATACATGCTCTCGGATGCGCACGCCTATGTAGTTACTTTAATAACTCGCAATTATTTCAATAACATCTTTTTTGCGACAGCGATTTTGTTGCGCGAACGCACGGTACACACCAGATACTGTTGAACAAATGACTCCTTTGCAATCACTGTCATTTTCATAATTGTTTGTGAAAAGGTACTAGAAAGCGGCCGTGATAATGCGACGTGATAATAAAATGTACATATTCTATCTTTCTCTTATACATTTACGTTATCTTGTACAAAAATTACTCCTTTCAGTAAAATGGGTTTTCTTAAGCGCTTATACAATGTTTCGAATATTATCTCGTTCTCTCCTATTTTATTTGTCTTTTATATATTTTAATCTGTGTCCACGAACACCATTCGAAAATTAATATAGGTATTTTATACGATGTTTTAGAGCAATTACTTTAGCCGTAGATTTTGAAACCGATCAATAAAAATTTGAGAAGCTATCATTTTTTTCATTTATTCAATTATCATTTTTTCTTGTGACATTTTTTATATCTTTAATTTAGCTCGTTTTGAGATATTGCGTGTTGCTACACCAAGTCATTGGCACCACAAGAATAATCCTTGTTTTTATCTTTTTTTTTGCACTTGTCATTGTCCACTTCCTGTGTCGGGTAAGTCGAGTGTTAATTCACGAAAGACTCGTCACGAGAGCACTAATACGTGCTCTAATCGAGACGCTATCGCGCCACTATTATATAATCATTAGTGTCGTCTTATGTCTCAGCGTACTTTTATTTCGTGAGAGAATCCGTAGGCTATTCAAGTATAGGAAAAAAAGCCAGATATAAAATCAGAAATATTTTATGATGACAGTTCAAGGATCGATATCATTCGTCTCGCAACATGTTATTCTTTTGAATTCTTTTATCTTTCATTTTTGTGAAAATAAAATATTTTTTTTTACATTTAGTATTATGGATATATATGTTCTTCATATCTATAATTTAATTAATATATATCAAGAGGAAAGCTCATGAGAGACCTTCAAGATTATAAAATGGAAATTCTAGATTTAATATAAATTTATGAAAACGATGTCGATATATATATTTAAAATCCCAAAACTTTTAAATATATTTCAAAGCAAAATTCAAGTGCAAGTCTCAGACTGCACAGGTTTTAATCAAGATAGAAAGAAATAGAGAGAGAGAGAGAGAGAGAGAGAGAGAGAAAGAGAGAAAGGGAAGAATAGGATTTTATTATTTCTTATATGTACATGATATTATGACGTGGATATCATCGTTTAAATATTTTATAGTCGACATTAAAACGGCGCTCCTGGGATATTATTTCTTATATTGCTTTAGAGCAAGATTTCCTCGCGAGATTTTCAGTTCTTATTAATTTTCCAATCTCTCTCCTTAATCTAGGGATTTGTGCATCATAAATTTCATAATATTCGTTCGCGTTTCCGCTTGCGATCATAGATATATAAGGCAAAGGAGATAATATATCATATTTATAAAAAGAATGTCTGTTAACTATGATTGTTTCCGGATTTTGTAATCAATTTAAAGTTAATTTCAGAGAAATGTTTTCTGATTTAAAAATGAAATAGTGAAAATTGTTTTACAAAATTGCAAATAACAGATTGCAAAGAATTCTGTTCCTCGATTAATTTGTTCTTTACTGCAGCAGAATCTTAATCTGAGACATAGATATTTTAAAACATCTAATGTTTATACTTAAAAATTGCAAATATTCCATAAAAGAATAATTTTTTCCGTCTACTTTAATATTAAAAGATGTGATTTGTGAATATCATCACACAATGAATATTATATCAAATTTTATATTAAATATACTATATGATATCCATATTATGATTATACTAATTTATGGCATTTCTTATTGCAGATATAAAGACTGTACAAGATGTTTCCGGTTGCTGCGAAGATCGCGGAATGTCATCGAGGTGTTCTCGGAAGCTCTCGACAGGTGTTATATGTCCGAGTCAGCCGCCTTGGCCTCTTGCGACACACTGAACTCCACTTCGATCCTGTACCGTAAGTAGAAGCCGGATATCTCTCGATAATCACGCATTTACTCATAAGGCAGAGACTGCGACCTATGACGTACGTCCGACTAAATATGAGACATACTTATGGTAATAAACTCGATTTTATGCTGGAAATGCAGGACGATCTGTCACAATAACTGCTTTTTCTCACGGCTACAACTGGTTAAATTATTGCTAATGTGAATTAATGCGAGTTTTTATATCTGTCGAGCAAACTGCGGTTTTTCTTAAGCGATTGTGAAGTTTATTTCGCTTACAGCCGAAGAAATGAAGCGGATATAGAACACGCATAGAAAGGCATTTGAATACTAGACAATAAGAGATAAGATTTATTAAAGCGATGTTTTATTTAATGCTAATATTATTTCTGATAAACTCAAAGAATAGAGTAAATAAAATTATATAATATAAATAAAATAAGATATTTTTAATATTTTTTTTTTAATTAAAAAATTTTTTTTATGTAACTTGATTTTGAACTTGATTTATATTTTTGTGAAATTTATAAATCACGTCCATTTTATTTTTACATGCTTTCTTTTACTGAAGAAAAATATTATAAAGCATATGTATATCAGATTATAACGCACATTGGATCGAGGCAAATTAATGAGCACTTGCATTCTTATGTAGGCGGTATACTCGAGGAATTTGCAAGCTTCCGGTTTATCAAACAAATAAATTATAATACGACCTCCGGAGGGAGGAAGGAGGGTTAAGTTCGGCGTACTCGCGCGTCCGCGAATTAATAGTTCTCAATAATTAGCGTTAATTGGCCGCGGACCCTAGCAGTCAAAAGGAAGTGATGAAGCTTGCGTAACAACGCGAGAACAATAGGCCACTGCGTCGTGCAAGAATGTACGTCGCGTGCAGAATGCGTATACGCGTATGCATGCCGCGATTTTCTCATGCGCGTGACAATTAAAACGCTCTTAGGGATGCATTTGTATAATCGTTTATATGCGGAGTGGATTGAACAAATCAAATCAGTCCGATGTTTATTAAATCGATTTTATGTAATTGGTGTATTTAATCGATGTTTTATTTAGTTTTTGGCTCTTGAAAAAGAAGAAGATGCTGCAAATTGTACGAACTCTCTTAACACATAAATGCAAGGATACGGTTGATAATTAAATTGTACACAGTTTTGAAATAATCTGCGATAAAACGTGTGTAATTAGCGTTAATTGGCCGCGGACCCTAGCAGTCAAAAGGAAGTGATGAAGCTTGCGTAAAATATTTTATTATCATTTTGTATTCAGATGATTCGTCGAATTATAATTATAAAAAAAATTGCACACAATAGTAACTTTATCAAGAGTTAACGGAATAAAATGTGTATAGGGAACTTTCAGACGCGTGTAAGATTCGCACAGATTGATGTATAGAGGTACGCACGCATTCGCGTACAATGTTATTAGTTGCTTAATGAAGATTACTGATGAGCATCGATTCCTCGGCTTCCGGTACATTATCATGCAAGTTCACCTGTGGCGGCTCCCAAGAAACACCTGTCGCGACGCGATCTTCGTGAGTCGGCTCGATTCCCGCTTGTAATCCCAGTTTCACGCTTTGATCCGTGTCGCTGCACGCGAGAAACTTCACGGGAACCGAAAATCCGGATCGGTGGTCCGGCGGAAGAAACATAATCGAACATTCGTGCGTGAAGTCTTTCAGCGAATCTCTTGGTGATGCCGCCCGAGATTTCAGGGACAACTTGTCGCCCGTAAAAAGGCCAAAGCGACTTTGCAATCTCGTAAACGTGCGAAGAGTCATATCCGGTAAATTTCCTCGCAAAAACATACCAGCTCTTTCAGGCTGGAAAAAAGCCAAAAATAATAGATAGAAGTTTATTCACTTAAAATAAAAAAAAGATTTAATTATTTTTCTTATTAAATTTTGCTTACTTTATCTTTATTTTTATATTAGTAATTTTTAAATGAGTGTGCTTTAAAGAATGGGGAGAGTATAATTTAAACATCAATCGAAATTTCGTTTCATGAAGAAAGTAAAAATATAGAAGAAAAATGATTTTTTGATTGTTACATCTTCTGCCTTTTCAATAAACATTTTATAGTATAGAAGCATGCTGTGAAAGAAAAAACACCGAGATTTCGTCGAAACGACCTCCCGCGTCCCCATCCATTCTTTGTCGTGTTCTATTCCTGTTTCCTTTTTTTCCTGGACCGTAGTCCATGCAGCAACCAGGTATTCGTCGTCGGAAGCGTGGGAGTGGCCCAAAAAGGTCCTCGTCCTCGTCCTAATCGTCCTGCAATGAAATAAGCGAGGAACACTACACGCGCCGATGGTCGGTCGCCAATAAAGAAAGAGTATATTGCTCGTTTCTTCGTTTCGTTAAATTATATCATGTTGTTTGGCGTCTGGAAGAAGGAAATGTTTATACATTCCAAACTTGATAAAGACGATTCCGCCATCGTGCTCTGCCATTCCTTTTTCATCACGCAAAATTATATTTTCTACTAGACAACGCAAAGCGCGCGCTTCGCGCGCATCATTTATTCCCTTTCATTATACATTTCTCACTGTCACACAAGCTGTCAAAATTTATAATCGCAAATGACAGCTGCTCACAACATGAATTGGGCACAATAAAAGAACCAATCGGCATCGCGAAAAAGAGGCAACAATACTTCGAGACTTTCGAGAATCGATTTAACATGCATTTTTTAGAAAGGGAATATTCCTTTTTTTAATTGTATTGCAATTTATATTGCAATTTATCAAACAAACGAATTTATATTTATATTATGAAACGAATGTTTATATTCATAATAAACGACATATTTCAATTTCTATATAAGTATATTAAAGAGCGCACAGAATTAAAAATTTATTGATACTTTGATAACAATCGTGTACAATTTATTTTGGCGTGATTTTTTTCCTTTTTAACATTACCGTCGTGAAGAAAAAAAATAAATCATTTGACAATAAGTGAAAAATGTCGAAGCTTTTAAACGAAAACGTGGTGTGGAATTTCAGTTACTTCCTGCTTATAGATCGTATCTTATTGCATCAATGAAAACTGCGGGAGAAAAAACTATTTCGAAAAGATTTTTCTGAATAAAGGATTCCTACAGATTTCATTCTTTGATATCTCATCTCGATTCATGAAAATCCCGGCCACTTTATATGATCACGTTCAAATGTATTCTAATAAAACTCACAATGTATAAATCACATGTTGGAATTCTCAAATCGAGTGTAATTCTAAAAATATTAATGATTATATTTTACTAAAATTTTTGGGAAACTTAAATTATATTTTAACTAATAAATTTCTAAAAATTTTATTAAATTCATTATTTATCACTGTATGTTCAAGAAAATATATATATGAATTTATAAATTAAAAAAAATAAATATATATATATATATATATATATATATATATATTTAAAATATGTGGAAAATTATATAAAAATCAATTAATAAATTATTGTTTTTCTGTTTCTTTGATAGGCACGAAAGAAATTGGTGGTGTGCCGATTCGGAATGAATACTGTCCTATTACTGGTTTATATCATTTTAAATACAGCTTGAACAATAATTCCGCGGTATCGTACGAGTGCAACACATTCTCTTCCGAATTCAATAATTGCCCGGATGGGTCAATCTTACATTTGAACTTCAAACGCTGCAACTTCGAAACGCACAGTAAGTTTTTCTTATAAAACTTTTTTTATTTAAAATTAAAAATTTTGTTAAAGCGGTTTTTATAGATATGACGAAAAAATGAAAAATATACACATATTATTAAATATATTTATAATAAATTATTATATATATACATATTGTGAGAGAAAACCAATTCATATTTTTTATAGATTTTAATTTGATAGTAAAAAATTAATACCACATTCGAGATTCAACAAATAAATATTCTATTTATATTATTTAATATTCTATTTATATTATTATCAGTAAATAAAATGTATTGTTGTGAATTAAATACATTGTATTGTTATTGTTATTAATTGATTAATTATCGTAATTGAAGCAATGACAAAAAAAGAATTGCGGATTTAAAATACATTATTATAATCTTGTTTTAACAGATCTCACATATAATTGTTTGGGTAGCTGGCCTGGACCGAACGGTTCTAATTATCTTGCTCTCTGGAGCAACAATGTTGACGATGATAGACCTCAATATAGATGCGGGGTACGTTACACAATAATTAATCATCTCATGTGATAAGACGGCAATAAAGAAATGTGTATTTGTCTATTACATTGCAAAATAACATATATAAAATATTTATTGTTAATAATTCAATGTAATAATAAATCTGAAAAAATCTATATCATGTATTATAAATTTTAAGATTTACTATGTGTATATGTGTATATGTTTTGCATAAAAATTACTAATAAAAGAATGTAATTTTTAGCTATTCCACATTGATAACAAAAAAGGAAAAACTTATATGGCATTTAGTAGTGATTCGAGCTGCACACAAGATTTAAATAATTCGACTAGTGGATATGAGACTCTGATTTTGAGTAAAAGTCCAAATCAGAAGAAGGTACCAGACTATGTAAAGACTCATGTTGCCACGTGAGTATTTTTCAACAATTACTTTTATATCGTTAGAGAGATATGTTTTGAGTTATTGGATAAAATCTTATATTGTATAAGTAATATATATTGACATAATTGTATAAAAAATATATAAAAAGTATATAAAATAATTATAATGAAGTCGGTATATTTTTCGAATAAAATATCAGATTCCCGAAGTGGGCACAAGGTGTGTGGGAAGAGTCTCTTATAGTTAATGGAACTATGACTTTCACCGATCTCAATGGTTACAATAGTTATACCTTCATTACGATTGAATCCAACGAAGAAACTGGTCGATATGTTGTATATTCGAAAGATCAATGGTGAGTCAATTTAATTATCATTTACATGTGCATTTTGTAGAGAAAAAATTTTAGAAAAAGGACTCTTTTTGAAATAATTTTTTTATAGATATTGTAATATTCTTACATCTTAAAATATTGTCACTATTATTTTATTAATAGCAAACGTTAAAAATGAAAAGAATATTTAATTTTAATTTTAGTGAGCAAGCTGCTTTTGTATGTTTAATGATGAGACAGCGCAGTGAAAATGTACTAGAATTTACGAGAGGTAATTATTTTTATACAAATTTTTGTACATTTTGTTATTCTGTACAATTTTTTATTGTACATTAATTTGATTATATATATAATTAGGATTTTTCAAAAACTTTGAATATTTAAGAATCTCAGAATAAAAACATTTGTTATATAATAAAATTTTATTAACAATAAAATTTAAATAATACAAAAATTAAAATAAAAAATTAATCAAAATAATAAAATAACATATATAAGTCTGGATGTAAATAACTATGTAATATCAACTCTAAGAAGAATCTTTTTTTTCTACTTTTCATTAATCTATTTCTGACGACGAAATCTCAATTTGTCATATAATATAACAAAAATAATATCACTTCAAACAGGGATGGTCTTTAGTCCAATTTATCAGGAAAATTTATGCGACGATCCTAATCTGGACAATTTGGTGTGGATGACTCAAGCACGTAAGTCAAAATACACATATACATATTATGATATCTTTATAAGTTGTCAATCTAATAATTTTTGTATTCTAATATTTGTATTTTCTCCTTTTCTCTTTTTCTAATATTAAAGCGCATATTTTGTAAATGCACAATTATTACTATTGAGTGTTGATAATAATATTTTATGACAAGGTATCGAACGTGTAGTGGAGTCACCCTGTCCAATTACGGGTCAGTATACAGGGATGATAACGGATTTATCAGGAATGTGTGCAGAATTAAGCAGTAATTGCAACACTCGCGAAATAATGTATTTTAAAGTAAGCGATTGCGAGTCCGGAGAGTTGTATGAAGGTATATATGTAATTATAAAATATTAAAACTAAATTAAAAAAAAGAGATAAATTATAAAGACACATTAGACAAATATTTATAAATATAATTTTTATAAATTGTTGTAATCTATGAATATTGTTGTAATGTAGTTGTATAATCTGTGTGATACAAATAGTTATATTTCTTTTCAAAGAACAATTATTTTTCTCTTATAATTTCTCTAATTTTCCAAAAAAAATTTTTTTCAATAAAATTAAATTTGAAAATTTATATAAAATGTTTTTTAAAAATATTTTTGAATGTATAGCTTTTACACATTGTTTTTAGAGCGAACATATCTATGCTTGGGACAGTGGGAGGAGAAAGGCGTGATGTATACTTATACCATGAGAAACGATACTAGTACGAACGAATGCTTCGTAGGTTTGATCGTCAACGACGAAGAAATATATATCAAAGAAGCTGGTGATCATTGCATACGAAATATAGATCCAAAAACGGAGGGTATGCGTCTCTACAAAAAGGGTAAATATTCTTATAAAATACTATTTATTGATATATCCAATTGTTTTTATTTCATGATATTGGATATTTTTGCAAAATTAGTTATACAGGAAAATATTTTCAATGAAATCGTATTTTTCCTTATAATTAATGTAGAAATAGAAAAAATTTCTATGTTCTAATAATATTATTTAAGGACAATGTTATGGAAATTCGCCGAGTCCTGCACCAACTCCACTGAAACCAATCCCACATAATCCAATAATGAAGATTACGACTACTCCGCGATCGAGAATATCGGGTAAAGAAAAATTATATCATTTAGTATATGTTCAGAATAAACACAGACATATAATTATCTTAACTTAATGATTTATATTTAGATAATTATAAAATATATGACATTTTCTATCTTATACATTTTTATCGTGCTATACTATTTTTATATTTTACTTTATTTTTATTTTTATGATATTTTATTCTATTGTGAGATTAAGATTAATTAAATATTATGTAATTAATTGTAAAAAGTTGATTTTATCTTACATATTATGATAAAAAGTTAAATATTGTTATAATTAAACCATATTTAAATATTTCATCTTTTTTTTTAACAGCAACTACTCAAGTGTCAGGAAATGCAGTTTCTTCGTCAGTTTCTTACAGATCGAGAACATTCACGAATTTGATGCTCTTCATCACCATCCTTGTTGCGTTCCTCGTATAAGTTCGAATAATGATACTATCTTTCGGACTCGTTAGACCGAGGTAGTTAATGAATATCAATATTTTTTTCGACGCACATTTTCATTTCAGTTTTGTCTGACGGACAATCGAGAGATGTGAGAAGATCGGCTTATTTATTACAAAAATCATCTTAAAACGATATTGTAGAAAGTGTAGAAAATTTTTATATTATGTTTATATTTTTTATTTTCTCATCACTCTGCGTTTAGCGAGATTACTTTTTCACGAAATTATAAAATTGAATGACAATGTTTGCCGTTCCATCAAGTGAGCTGCATAGGAAATCTTACAAAGCAGAAAAATTTCAGATAAATTCAGATATTTCAGATATTTTTTAATGATTTTGAAGAAAGCGGAAAAGAAATAGAGCTAGAATTATATTATAAACTCTTTGCGATAAAATCGTGATTGATTATTGTCTTTTTTATATACTGTGAATTATTATTATTTATTTAACTAGTCTTAATAGATAGATACGGGAGATTATGTCTCGACAGTCATGTTTATATACTGCTTCATATGATACAAGAAGTTTTACGCGAGACTTTCATTCACGGAAATCCAAAGAGCAGTTGTCTGCATGCAAATAAATAATGATTTTTTTACGAAACTAACATCACAAAATATAAATGCAATAGTAAAAAAGAAATTGACTACAATTTTGTAAATAATTATGCAATCATAAATTTTATTTTCTGAAAAAAATGCATTTTCGAAGATAAAATTTTATAATTGACATAAATTTTTTTTAAAATAAAAGAAACACTTAGGTGTCTCTTATTTTTTAGATTTGATGGTGATATTTTTCTTAACATAACATAAGTGAAATAAGATATTTCTCAAAATCTTGTAGAGCAGAGAAAAAATAAGCCATAATAAATATAGTTTAACAAAAGGATATATAAATTATACAGTTTCAAAGACTGATACAAAGCTACTATTTTAATATGCTTCAATTTCTAGTTTCCTTTCTTTCTTATTAGAGATAAATGACTTTAACAGAGAGGTATATATGTATATTACATTAAGTATGAGAATATTATATATGTATATATTATATATGTATATTATATTAAATTATATTATATATGTATATAATATGTATATTATATATATTATATATGTATATTATATTATATATGTATATTATATTAAGTATGAGAAGAAATGTATCTTTGCGAAAAACACATATCGAATTCCGTAAAGGAATAAAAAATTAAACTGTGTGTAAGCATTAAGAAGATAAGTTGAATGAAAGCGTGCCTCATGCTTTGTGTAATTATGGGATTTTAAAATTGAAGTGTATTTTATCATATTTACTTATAAGATGAAAAATAAATTCTTAAATGTAAAAATAAATATCTAAGAAAAGAATTTATATATAAATTGTAATAATAAAAAAAAACAATTTCCAAATATATGACAGAATGATTTTTAAAAAATATTCTTTATAATTAAAGAACATTTTTAAAAATATTCTTATAAAAATGCACATATTACAAAATTAATATTAAAAATACAATATTTATCACAATCACTTAAAAGATTGATGCTAAGTTTATTTGTGCTTTTCAAAATTCTAACTTACTTTCACAGTTAAATTAATATGGCGATAGGTGTACATATGCAAATTTATTAATTATTTATTAGTATAAAATTGATAGTATAACAAGTTTTATAAAAAATACATTTATTATTTTTGTTTAATAATATACAGAATAATTGTACAGAAAATTATAATTAATAATATAAATTTACTTTTATCGAAAATTTAATTTCACATTTCTATAAATGTCTTTTTGAGTATTTAACTTGTATTTAATATAAATAATAGTGAATAAATTTTTGTTCTTTGTAGTTATAATGAAAGATGTACAGTTGTATAAATCTGTCTGAGACAATTAAGCAATAATAATGTTAGTGTGTATGTGTGTGAGAGATATATGTTACAAACTTAAAATAAGATTTAAAGATAAATTATAATAGATACATATTTCTGTTTTTACAAAATATAACTCGAAATATTATTAGAAGCAAAATATCGTCAAGTTATTAAACTACAAAAAATATTAATAAAAATATTAATTTGCATATAATAAAAAATTAATTTCTATTTATTTTTACATTTACAGTATATATAAGTATTTAACAGAATTACATAATTGACCAAACACACACAATACTTAAATGTAAATGAGTGAAACTGAATTGTAAATATATAAGACAATAATTGATATCTTTAAGAAATATTTGAAATCAAAAAAAGGATCTTTGGAGGATATGCATGTATGTCAACTGTATTTTATTATGCTAATGAAAAGAATTTTGTATTTTTACATGATGATTCAATGTATGTAAAAAAATAAATCTTTATCATCAATATACATGTGCAATTTATATTACATATCTAAAATATTAAAAAAAAAAAGAAACTTTTGAAATGTATCCTTGATTATTCATATTTTTTTAAAGATATTTAATAGCAAAGAGATCAAAAAGAAATCATATATCTATGAATTGTACAAGCAATTGTCTAGTTAAATTTAAATTGGATTTAAGAGTAACTATGATATAAAAATAAAACATTTTAGATGAATACAAATAAATGCAAAAATATATGTTAATGTATATATGAGCGTATAAAATAATTAGATATTTGTAATATTATACTATATGTGTTAGTTTCCAGGATAGCTTTCTTCCACTTTACTTCCCAAGCATATTTATTGTTGACCCCATTCTTTCTTTTCATATGATACTTGTCTACAATTAAACTTAAATTAGATATAAGAGTAATTACAAAATAAAAATGTATTATTCACATTCATTTTTAAGATATTTGTTAGTAAAGAGAAGAAAATATATATATATATGAATTGTACGATTAACTACAGTATACAGTTAGTATAAATTGGATACAAAAGTAATTACTGAAGTAAAAATAAAAATCTATAGATTAATACGAATAAGCAAAAATTATATATATATATATATATATATATATATATATATATATATATATGTAAATATGAATAGAAAAAAAATGATTAGAGGTTGGTAATATTTTACGCTATGTGTGTTGCCTTTCATATTCCAGCATAGCTTCTTTCCGTTCTACTCCCCAGGAATAATTATTGCTACCATTCTTTCCTTTCACACGGTGACATGGTACAATATATGCGATATAATTCTTAGAAATTGCAGATCCCACTGCTATTGCAGCTTTAGGATTACCTATGTCTTGTGCAATCTTTTCATATGTAGTGATTGTTTTGTTAGGGATACTTATCAAAGATCTCCATACTTTGATTTGGAATTCTGTACCTTTCATTAGGACACGAATAGAATGCAGATGAGATGTATCAGGATGAAAAATTTTCTCAATGATAGCTTTCGTTTTGCTTTCGGTATCTTCTAATATTTTAGTCATCGGCCATTTCAGCTTTAGAATTTTCAGAGCTTCACTCTCGTCTTCGTCGAATCCTAAATAAGTTACATCTTCATCGGTGTCAGTTATAGCGATTAAACATTTCCCAAAAGATGTCCGATGAAATGCATATAACAGGTGAAACGTCATATATACGTTTTTGTATTTGTCCACTGTTATACTTCGAAATATAACCATGATTATGAAGCAATTAAATGCTAGGTGTAATCGACAAATAATGCAAGAATTAGTTTGAAAAAGTTACTGCGCCACTTGAATGCTTATTTCATCATGTGTTACACACGTGTATCCAATGGGCGCAAGCGCAGCAGCAGAGCTTTGATTGGTCGAAAGTTACATTCACGTAGCCTTTCATTCACAAGTATGATTACCAAAAAAATTCAATTCATAAGAATATATAAATATAAAAATATTAAAAATATTTACGTAATAATTAATATTCTCTTGAAAATTTTATAATACATTTTTGTTTATTATTTGTTATTAAGGTAAAGTATAATGTACATTTTTTTATTTATTATTAAAGTAATATATATTTAAATATTTAGATTAAGCTAGATATTCACAAGATGTATACAAACATACAAAATGTCTTACATAATAATATTTTAAGTATACTGAAAAACTTTATTACAATCTTCCTATTTAATAATAAATTGCCTGATGAAAACAGGTGCTGCATGAGCATCGACACGACATAAAACTCCGCGACTTTTTGCATCAGATAATAATGCATTCCACATTTTATCCTTCTGTAAAACAAAGATTTGTTTGATTTAAATTAAGAAAAATATAGAGAAACGGAAAATTTTTAGAATTCAAATTTAAAATTATTTTTTATATTTACTAGGAAGGTATTAAAATTTCCACATAATATCAGACTGTATTTAGCTCTCGTGAGTGCTACACAGAGTCTTTGCCTGTCTGATAAAAATCCAATACCATGACTTCTCACACAGGACATTATTATAATATCTCTTTCTTGGCCTTGAAAACTGTCAACTGTATTAACTTCAAAACTAATTTTGTTTCTCAAATTATCCGGAATAGAAGATATCCTGAGAGATATAAGTATCATAATAAATTTACAAATTTACTGTAGCAAAGAAAAAGAAATTATTGCTTTTACAACTTACTTTTCATTTATTTTATTCAATACAAGAGTCCTTTGATTATTATATGGCGTGAGAACTCCAAGAGAAATAGGATTCACATTCTCCCAATTTGTAAATGTTAACATAGCAAGAATTGTTTTGGCAATAAATTCTGCTTCTATAGTGTTGGAAAATTTATCCTCGTTTTGCTTAAAATTATGATCCAATATTCTGTAAGAATGAAACGGGAATTTCATTCTAAAATCAATACTATTTTTCAATTTTCCATCATAGAAATATTTATTTGGCCAATACGAGATGGCATAATCCATACGATATTGCATGTTTAACATTATTATAGGATTATTTTGTTGTGATGTGAAAACGTTCTGTATTCTCGAAAATACCGACTGATCTAATTTCAACTTCTTTGCTCGCTGGCTTAAGACAGTCGCGGGCAACTGATTTGGATCACCCACCAAAACCAACGTTTTCACTCCCAACATCAATGGTATCAAAGTCTCCGCTTCGCAGCTCTGTGTTGCTTCGTCAACAATGCAGACGGATATTCTTTCCTTGTATCCTCCGAAAATAGATTCCATTTGATTGGTGTAACAGGACGAAAGTGTACAAGCAATTATATCGGCGCCTGTAAGAATTATATTTTCCGCCATACGCTGATATTTAGTGCGATCTTTTGAACTGAACTCATTAATCGGTTTACCACATTTCACTAATTCATATCTCATTAACGTTTCCATTAGTCTTCTTCTTATTTCTTTCTTTTTGTCTTCGTCTTTTTGTTGCAAACTCGAGAGCTCAGCTTTAAGCGAATTAATCTTTGCTTCCAATATCGCTAATTCCTCGGTATTATCAGAATAAACTGCTTCCTGCGATATTTTCGTCAAGTGTCGTTTCCCCAATTCCGTCACAGAAATGGGCTTAGCCATTAGATGCATAGATTCCATTCGGCCAATACGTACCATATTGAAACGATTCTTTTTTAGTTTAGACCTGACGTTCAAAAGTCTTAATACAATTTCGTCGATGGCGGCATTAGACGGCGCACAAATTAGGATCCTTAAGGTTTTCCGGTTTGTATGCTCACTATATAGTATTTGGCTCACCAGATTTACAATTACTTTAGATTTGCCGGTTCCTGGGGGTCCTTGAATAAAACATAATTTATTCTCTTTTTTTAGTACGGTTTTTGTTACTTTGTATACAGCCTCCATCTGTTTCGGATTCAAATTGTCTCTTGTGACCAGTGAGGAACATGTAAATTGTTCGTCCATTGGTGGTAATTGATATTCCTCAATTTTCGGGTTTAAAATTAAATTTGAAATAGGAGATTGAGGAAGATATTGCAATGCTTGTACCATTCTAATATTCGCTCGTAGATACATAACCGTTCGGATTCTTTGCACTCTATTTACAGGAAAATCGTGCTGGAGAGGTCGCGTCAACAAAGTATATGTTAATATTGCATATGGATTTTTGACATACTTTATTAGCTCCTGATTATAAAGTGTGAAATTTGTGATAATCATTTGTTGCATATTAGTGACATATGCAAATATCCTATTAACATTTTGTTTTTTATAAGTATTCGTGATATATTCGATGCACACTAAATCCCCATAAATAGGATGCACTTTGTTAAGATCTTCTTTCTTAACTAAAACTTCAAGTTTCAGAGTTGTCAGGAACAAATTGGTCGATGGTATTGGAGTACATGTAGGATTCTCGACTACGGAGCACATCATGGTGGCACGTTGTTTATTCTTCTCAATCATTTCAAACTCTTTGGTCATTGCGCACCATATCTCAAGTAATAAAAGAGGCATCACAATCTTATAATACTGTTTATAGGAATCATAGCTTAATTTCATAGTTTGAAGTTCGCTTTGGGGTACAATCGGTGGGTCACCCTTCAAATATCGCTGTTCCTCGAGCCACACTGGATTCCACTTGAAAATATAAAATAAAAATTCTTCCAATTTTGGACTCCATTCTGCACTGGTCGGAGGAGTTCTTAATTTATTCGGAGGTATAGGTGCGTCTTTCCCCACTAATTTTTTTAAAGAATTACACTGATCAATTTCATATTCTCTTATTTCTGATTTCTCAAGAAAAGTCACTTTCTTCTTTTTTTTCGATTTAAAATTCGATTTTACAATGTTGGATGATAAATTTTCTTTTTGCACAGTAGGATCATGTTCAGTTAATCTATCTCGTTCAGATATCTTTACACTTTCGTTACTTTTTCTTATCTTCTTGTTACTGCTGCCTTTTTTTTCTTTACTTTTTTTACTGTCTATCACTTTGGAATCCTTTTTGCTATTCTTAGATACTTGAATAGCATTCGTATTATTCAATTGTAAAGACTGTTTTAATGATGTAGCAATATCATTTACTGTATTTTTAGAAACATTTTTCTGATAAGATTTTTGTGTTTTAGAAATTGAGGATGTCTTCAACATATTAGCTATATCAGTTAATCGTTCTTTACCCTGATTATTCGATTTTGGTAAGTTCACAGACTTCTCCACAAATGATTTAGATGTTGACGGCTCTTGCTCATTGATGAGAAAATCGCCTCGATTTTTCAATGATACTTTAGCTATTGCTTTAGCAGTTCTACGCTTAATATTTTTGTCATTTTTGATGGATAGTTTCTTTTTTTCTTCAGCAATTTCTTTCAATTTTATTTTTCTCTTTTCGATTATCATTTTCTTTTGATCTTTAGAAATAGCTTTTGTTTCATTTGATGAATGACAGTCAGCCGTCGATGTAGATGGTTTTTCATGATGTTTTTGTTTTTTAATATAGAAATTATCATTAACTTTTCCTTCTAATTCTAATATCTTCTTTTTTTTTCTCAACTTTGAGGGTGATTTTTCTGTATCTTTTTGTGCTTTATCTTTACAATTAACTCGATTTCTTCTTGCAGGTAAATTTAGTGGTTCTATTATTGGGATTAATCGTTTTAATGTTGTGACTGATTTTCTTACAACTGATTTTTGTTTCATACCTTCTATTTGCTTATCTAATTCTGTACTTAACACTATATTAGTTTTTCGTTTATTTGTATCACTAGTGATTTTCAAAGTGGATTTATTAGAAGGTTCAACATCATTTATATCCATCACTTTTGTTTCCATTATCAGTAAATTATTATTATTATTGTTGTTATTATTATTTTCTGATTTCTTAGAATTATCGTCTATGTTTGTATTTATATCATCGATATTTTTCAAGTTAGATTTGTTAGAAGGACCAACATCATTTATATCCATCTCTTTTGTTTCTGTCGTCAGTAAATTATTATTATTATTATTCTTATTATTATTTTCTGATTTCTTAGAATTGTCATCTATATTTATATTTGTATCATCAATATTTTTCAAAGTAGATTTGTTAGAAGAATCGACATCATTTATATCCATCGGTTCTGTTTCTGTCATCAGTAAATTATTATTACTATTTTCTGATTTCTTAAAATTATCTGTGTTTCTATTAAGGACATCATTTTCTTGCCATATTCCCAAATCGATTTCATTTTTTACAATTATGTTGGGATCAAATTTTTTATCTTCGTTAAGCAGTTGACTTCTAGATAACCGTTCCAACCATGGATTATCTTCATCTTCACTGTCTGTTAAAAAGATGACTTCGTCATCTATATCTAAATCAATTTTCTCAATGTTTTGATCATCATTGTTGATATATTGTCGTTTAATTTCGCTATCGTTCTCTGTATTTTCTTCATATTTGATGTCAAATAATTGAGAACATGGAAATACTTCTTCTTCATCATCACTCAAATCAATAACATCAATTTCTGAAAACCGAGTCTTTGGTTCATATTTTATTTTTTTTAACTTTATTAATGATGCGTCACGAGTCATGTTAACATCTATAGATGCCTCTTCATCATCTTCTGTTTGCTCATCTTCCACTATAATGATTTGATTTTCAGAACATATAAAGTTTGAATTCTTCGAAGGATTTAATGCATCATTTGTTGTATCTATGTTACTTGAGATGTTTTCTTTGATATCTATTTTGTTTATGGTTCTATTAGTATTATCGCTTTCTTCTTTATTATTCCCATCAATAATGATATCCATTTTCGCATTGAAATTTAATTTATTGTTATCTAAATATGTAGCAGATTTATGATCTTTAATATTTTGATTCTTTTTATCTTGTACAAGAGATGTGTGAATTATTTCAATGTCATCTTCTATCTCCATATCCATAATATGAGATTCAGTTTCTACTGAATTATTTGTGGTACTACTACTGGCTAAACTTTTGTTAATACAAGAAACAATTTCTGCAACAAAAATTTAATTAATCTAATTAATTTAAGGGTAAAATTGATCACAAAATTACATTACAAATAAATGTTCCTCTTCATTGTCTATTATAAAAAAAATAAGGATTTACCTTCTGATAAAGTAGCTTTGGGACTATGTGCATTTTTATCTGTGTTTTTAAATTTTTTATTTGGCACTTTGATATTATCTGAATTAAATCGTTTTTTTCCTAAAGTACATTCTGCAGAAGAAGTAGGTGTTCTAGGTGATGTATTACCATTTAAAATTGTGCTAGGCAAGGCACCAATTTCTTTCACTAATATTTCTACTTTTTTATCAAGAGAGGACTAAAAAATCCAATAATCAAATTTTAATAACAGAAAAATGTTTCTGATATAAACATTAAATATTAATCTTAAATATAAAATAATATAAAATATCCTACCTCTATGACGCAAACTTTGTAAGTATAAAATGTATTATCCTTTGGATCAATATTTGCGCAGCCAAGTCCAATAATGTCATTTTCATACAATTTGACCATCTGATGAGAATTTTGTAATACACGATTGACATAAATACCATTCGAGCTCTAATAAAATTTCAAAATTTTAATATTTTTCAATTTATTAAAAGATCGACAATATCAAAATTATATGATTATATTTTATACATACTCCTAAATCTGTGATATATAAATCACCACTGTCACGAACAAATAGACAATGTCTACGAGATACAAGTAGACTAAGGCAAATAATCATATTCTCCTTGCCTCTACCACAACTGTACTGGAAAAATTTAAATATAAATGTATTAAAACAATTTATAAAAAAAATATATATATATATATATATATATATATATATATATAGAGAGAGAGAGAGAGAGAGAGAGAGAAAATAAATAATTATAATGAATCAAGAAAAATCTTCTGTTGCTTAAAGCTTAAAATGTCATTAATATATATATATGTAAAGAATTATAATTTTATTTATATTTAAAAAAATTTTAAGCAACACAAATATAACATATATTTATATATGTATGTATGATATCTTGTTATACATAATTATAATATATATAAAATGAGAGAAAAAATTGTTACTTAAATAAATTAATAATGCTTAAAATTAACTTTGCATCATATAATAAAATTAGTGTTTTTTAAATAGTACTTAATCAAAGCAAAATATTTAAATAAAATCTTTGATTGTATCAGTGAAAACTTTTCCTCTCTGACGAAGTTAGCTTTTACGAAGTGAGTTTCCCGGGTTTATACACAATGTTTAATGTAGTGTTGTAAATGATTTATGAAAATAATTTAAGAAAAATACCTTGCTTACCGATTGATTGGGCGCGTCAAAGATGAAGCGCATTTTATCTACATTGTGCTGTCGTTCTATTGCGAAATACATCCTGCGCAATTATGTACATAAAAAATATATCTCGTTTTTATACGAGGACTCACAACCTCATGTTAACCTGCGAACACGAAAATGCTTTTACTTGTGCGCATGTTTTTCCGTTTGTTTCTTCATTGTTTCCGGTAAAAAATAAAATAGAACAATAAATTCGTGTCCATCTGCTATGCTTAATCTAACATTAAATTCAATTTTTTTAATTTAAAATATAAACATCCAGTTTATTTACTTGTTTCAAAGAGAGGAACAAAGAATAGCGAAGGAAAATGCGCCAAACACGCGCCAGAGAGAAAACTGAGAGATGTCATGGCCTGCTTTTAGATGATCCCTGAAAGCGATATTCCCTCTATGGACATTGAAAACGTGGACATGAACTACAAAGCCAATGTCCATGAATGTTCTCAGAGGGTATCATGTGCACAATTTCTGGTTTCGTTCCGTGCTATGTGCACGAAATGCCGGTAACACCAGAGTATAACAAGACACTCATGTATATAAATTGATAGTAAATAAATTATGCAATCGTGAAAGATACTATAATCTTCCAATGTAATGTTCAAAGATGAAATAAATATTTTTCTATATTCATTGCCATGTTTATATATTTTTATTTACAAAACACAAAATGTCTGCTGTGGAATAAAAACATTTTTAACCGTTATTTCTATAAATCTTAATTAGCAATAAACTGATCTTTGATATTTATTAATCACTTTTTTAATTATTTAAAAAAGTTATTATATTATTAATTATTTACTTATTTATTTATTACTTATTTATTATTAATACATGTATAGAATTATTAATACATGTATAGAATTTGTCAAATTAATCACTGATTGTTCTAAAGTTTTTATAATTAAGATTCGGAAAATATAGTTGCAAAATATTTTAAATATCTCTTCCTTTATATAAAATATAAAGAATTCATATGTTCCATTCTAATATAGTCAACATTATTTATATACTTTTATTATAATTTTCTTACCAGCATAATATTTTTATGCTTAATATTTTATATAATACAATGTACTAAATTATAAAATTTAATTTAATATAATTACAAATTTAATATAATTACAAATAGTATTACTATTAATAAATAGGTTGTATTCATACTGTCTTTTAATTTCTAATCATTTCCAATCATTATGCATTTCTATTATCTATTTCTATTATCTATTATTTTCTTCTTCGAGTTCTTGGATTAGTTCTTGGTTTATTGTATATTCCTTGGTGTTAAGATCATAGGGATTATCATCATTTGTCATGCTTATTCCTTCCTATGGAGTCCATCGAAATATTTTCTATGGACATTTGTTCTCTCGAGTATAGATATTCAAATCACCCAGAGAAAGAGAGAAAGAGGAGGAGAAAGGATTTGAGATATTCAAATCACTGTAGTTGTCTTTTTTCTATTTTCTCAATTACTGTCTCTTTTTCTTTTATTTTATTCAAAAATATTAATATAATTAAAAATAACATATATATAATTTTGATATCTTTCTTAGTCTGACTCTTTCCCTTCGACTTGTCCGGCATAGGTAACCCTAAGGCCGGCATTCATAATTCATTCTTATATTTAAGATCGTCTTAAGTAAGTTGGAAAATACAACTATTTTACTAACTGATCGGAATCTCAAGACGCGATTTAAGATCATACTTAAGATTATTTTAAATATAAAAATAGTCTACATATATAAATATCGGCGTATTATACGTTACTGCCGGCATAGTTCTTAGGTTCATTAGAGTACTCAAACCTCATCCGGCAAATGCCTCTGTAAGGTGGAGATACGAGGAAAAAATTTTTTTTTAATTTTATTTTTATTTTCTTTCAATACAGGGTTTAATACAAAAATGAATGTAAAATATAATTTGAAACTTAATACAAAATAATTTTTATTTATTACATGGAATAATTTAATACACGAAAATGTTTCTAAAATATACATATAATATAAAATTTACTAAAAATTTTTATATAGTCCAGACAAGCCCGATTAGCGATGATTAATTATGCAACATTTATCATTGATAATCGATATGCGATAATAGAATTTAATAAGTTTTATGTAACGTAAATATATATAATCATGATTAAAAAAGTCATTAATAAAATTATTGATCATTTCTTCGATTGTAGAAGAAAATATTTGCATTACTATCGCATTTTGTGTAGATTATCAAAGGAAATATTCAAAATACGAAAAAATAAAATAAGCTTCAATGTAAATCAACAATTAAATTACAAAATAAATCGCGATTTAAAATTCGCGAGAAAACGCGAATAAATAAATCGATAATAATAGGAATATTCGATTACGAGAAATATACGTATAATTTTTATAATATGATAATCAAAACTATCAATAGATACGCGCGCGATAATTATTATCACACAAATGATGATACACAAAGATATTTTGATAAACATTTGTGGTCCGCATTGTTTATGAACAATTATTACTTTAATGATATTTATAGAATAAAATATAATTCCCGCGACGCTTTATCTCGTTCTATTTTTCAATTATTTAAAATTTAATTATTTAATTTAGAATCAAAACGCACAGCAAAACAATCGAATCATAAATCGAAAAAATTAACATAATAAAAAGCTTTGCGATACATCAAATTAACAAATATTATTTAATTTATCCATGTAATCTAAAACTTTTATACACTTTAACATTTCGTGTATATGTTAAAGAACGTAAACTATATCAGCAGTGAATGGATAATAACACGATCGGCCTTGGCGGCGTATGACGCGCTGTGTTTACATGTACGGTCTTGATATCATTCACACGGCAACATTCGAAGAGTAAGGTGCGAAATACTTCGTATATTATTAAATTTTTTCTCTAACGATAAAACACAATTATGACTAGTATTAAAACATAATTCGCTATGATAATTATAATTAGTACTTGCTAAACTTTTAATTGTAATTACTACGCGATCGGGAATGCCGTGCAAAATGTCTCGCGATTTTTGCGTATACTAATATTAATTAACTAATCTTAATTAATCTTGTTTCCAGGAGTGAAAGTGAGTGCAACGAAAAAATAGCGAAGAAGAGGAAAAGCAAGTCTAAAAAGCACTGGGCCACGTACTAAGCAACATTATCCGGTAAATAGTTTATAAATTATTTATCATTTATATTTATCATTTATATTCAGATTATATATATATATATATATATATATATATATATATATATATATGTCATTTATATTCAGATCATATTATATATTGCATGTTTTCTCAATAACGATTCTCTCTCTTTCCCTCTCTTTCTCTCCCTCTCCCTCTCTCTCTCTCTCTCTCTCTCTCTCTCATTCTAAATTATCTAAATTATTTAAGTTTTTAAATTATATTAGTATAACATATATCTAAAATATTCTGGATTATCTTATTTTAATATACTTAAAATATCTATAATAAAATATTTTTATATTATTTAACACTTTTACATAGATAGTAATATTTCATAAACTGTTTCACAATAATATATTTAAATATTTTATGCATAAAAGATTCCATAATGAATAAATTGTTTAATAAATAATCAATTTTAATCAATCAATTAAAACACTTCTATAATTCATTATTCTATGCGTGTGTATTTTATAGTACATAAAATATTTCGACAACGAATTATCAATAAAATCATGACTTTGGCAAGAGTAGTGCGTTGTTTATATATTACAGTTTTGCTATCATTTGCTCGGTGATATATAAGCAATAAATAATGATACGAAACGTTTCGTATACTAATTAATTGTTTAAATAATAAATAATCATTTAATTAATCTATAAATATAAAAACTTCTACAATTTAATATTTTGCGTTACAATCAAACAACTAAACTTCAAATTTCTTTAAAATGTGAACATAAATTAATTATTAATTAAATGACTGCTATCACAACTTTATTTATTATTTTAATATTTTCATTCTTATAATTCGTATATTATACAGCATATAACATGCGTATCAGTAGCATACGCATTGCTGTAGCAAATAGCGAATGATTTTAATTTCGTGTAAAGGTAAATCTCATGTTGCTCTTTTATCATTTAAGTGCGTATATAAGTATGATTATTTTGTATGATTATTGAGAGTTTCGTGCAAAGTGCGCCACGTATTTGATTAATTATAATTATAATTATAATTAAATCGTGTTTGAATTAAATTCGTGAGTGAGTGAATGCCACAAAAAGAAATAACGAAAGATACGTAAGAGAAGAAAGGAAGTTTGGAACATACGGAGTAAAATGAAGTAACATGAAGTAAAACAATCGAATAATATATGTAAATAATTAGCATAACGAAAGGCCCCGTGACAAATTGTTTAATAAATAATCAATTTTAATACATAACTTAAAATGCTTCTATAATTTAATATTTCACGTTAATGTACAATATATTTTATAATATATAAAATATTTTGGTAACGAATTATCGATAACACGATGTTCGATTTTGGCAATATAAAATATAAACAGTAGCGCGCTATATTACGGTTTTGTCATTAATCGCACGGTGACTCTCGAGTAAAGTAGTGTTAAGAAACGCTTCGTATACTGTAATTTTTTTACTAGACACGATTACGGTTAGTATCGAAACATAATTTACTATAAATATTGACAAAAATTAATTAATTAAAGATTAATTAACGACATGAAACTGTATCGCAACGATACAGTTAAATCTTTATCGAATCGTAATCATTCATTACCGCGATTAAAAATTGAAACAGAAAAATACATAAAAAGGGATAAGAGAATTAAACATAATCTTTCGATCATCGATGCTTATTATATTATTTCTTTAATAATATTAAACTTAAATATATTTCAACGCTTTAAATTTTCTCAATCCTTGTTAATTAAACAATATACAATTTAATTGAGAATCGATTAAATGATAGTAATCCAAGATATTAAATAATCATTTCGATGATTGCGATCTTTACGGACAATAATTATTATTTCAATACTTAGAGTCACAAATATATTTCATCCGTGTTATTTTATCGTTCTTGAAAATCTAAATATAATTTGGATTGTGAGAGAACACGAACTAAAACAATTGAATTATACATGCAAATAATTAGCATAACAAAAGACTCCGTGAATTGATAAATAATCAATTTTAATCAATAAATTAAATTCTTTCATAATTTAATATT